ACGTGAATATTATATAGCCCATGTCACTCCCACAAATACGACAAAACTAACGATACTTCTCTACTATCTTATATATCTACTATCTTATATATATACTATATCTACTATCTCATATGTTAAAATCCGTCAAACCGTTAATGATACAGTGCGTCTCAAATAAATATACATAGGTAGATACACCATCATACTCTCGAAAAACATTAACATTCTGGGCCAGTGGCGTATAAGCCATTACAAACAATTAATTTTCCATTATTATTTGAATAATTAATTAAAGACATTTAATTATATCTTATCATTATCTATTAGTGGTAGTGGATTATCTTACGCAGTATAGTCGCTAAGTAAGAGAAGAGGCGACATAGAAAAACTGAAACATGAGATAGTATTAGCATCTTCGTGATAAAAAATCGAAAGTCTTACAAAAATGCGCTTGCTGTCTTCTTCTATGCGTAACAGCTATGGCAAATATCCCTGCTATGAGGACTTCTGATATGTGTTTTAATAAATAAAAATTGAGTGAATTTATTAATTACTAGCCGTTCCCCGCGACTTCGTCCGCGTGTAATTTAGGGTTTTAATTATATTGCTCAAAACCCTAATTCTTTTTCTCAAATATAAGTAGCCTAAGTTACTCCTTAGAACGTCAGCTATCTGCCAGTGAAAGTCCCGTCAAAATCGGTCGAGCTGTTTCGGAGATTACCCGGGACAAACAGACAGACAGACCGACAGACAGACAGACAAAAATTTTAAAAATTGTGTTTATGTTATAAGTACCGTATATATTCATATGTATTTAGTAAAAAGCTGTTATTTTTACATTACAAACATACACTTCAATTTTATTTATTTGTATAGATTATAATAGTATTTATTTTATAAGGTAGAATGCCTCGTTTCCAGTAAAAAGTGTCTACGTTTCTCTACACTCATGATACGAAACACAGCAGTATTAAGCTGCTATTTCACGATAGTATTCTTTGAGATCGTAGTTCTACACCGGTCAAACCGACCCTCTCGTGCTACAACCATAATATAGCTGCAGCATGGCTCTACCACGTATATACGTACGTATGTAAATAAATTTCGTATGTAAATGACAAATATTCCGTAATATCGCTTACCAGGTCGTCACTCAAACTAGTGAGGTCCAACCTACACTTCGTTTACCTGAACGCTAGTCAAAAATATTTCCTCCCCATCGGTTGTATTGGCTCTCCGAGCTATGTGGAAAGCCCATTGTCACTTTAGCTTAATAGATCAGCTGTCAGGCCTTGTCAGTTACTTTAGTTCTACTGCAGACATCTTCGTTACGAAACCTATTACGTAAAACAACCCCAAGTATATCCTTCTACATAGCTCGCTGAGCGACATTAAACAATAAAGTTGCAAGAAGTCGATGGATGAAAGTGGCTCAGGTCCGTGCTTTGTGGAATTCCTTGGGGGAGGTTCAGCAGAGGACATTTGTTGTGTTGATATGATAGAGATGATGATGATAAGAGTGAAAGTATAGTTCAATCACGCTTAAATTTAATTTTAATTAAATTTTGAATAGGATTCGATTATGTAGTTTAATAGAATTTAAAGAATGCTCGTATAACAGTTAATTTTCGTCAAAGCGGGGGCGTAAAAGCTAATTTAAAGTTTTTAGGTACAAGCGGATTTACTCAAAAAAGATTACAAATTTTATTTTAAAATAATACCTCAATATCTCATTAACTCCAATAAATTAAAATTAAAAATTTTGTCCAACCGACTTCAATATAAATTATTAAGAATAACTCAAAAACTATTGTTTGGACCTTGATTAAATTTATATGAGGCCACATGCGAAGCACCAGCTTTCAAAAAAAAAGAATCATCGCAATCGGTTCACCCAGTAAAAAGTTATGAGGTAACACACATAAAAAAAAACATACAGTCGAATTGAGTACCGTACCTTTATGAAGTTGCTAGAAAATTTATTGAGTCCAGACCAAATAAATGTCTATAATTTGTTATACACATTTATTTAGTAATACCATCAATGTACAATGCGAGCCGTTATTGTTCTCTTGTTGTTCGTTTCGCAACGAATATCCCTCGTCAATCATTTTCGGCCGAATGGCACGCAAAAATGGCGTTACAAAAGCGACCTACAAACTCCATAATGATATCCTATCGGCCGATTTCTACTACAGCGAACTTCTGATTACTGATGACAGTTATTAACGGATGTATGACATATTGTAGTCCAAAAATAATTTGTATTATTTGTATGTCCATCTGATTACAATGTAGGTGTATTTAAGGCGAGAATAAATAGGCTTATGTGACGTTCAAGAACAAGGGGGATGCGGGAAGTAAAGACTGTGTAAGAACCTCCGAAGGAGGCGGAGTTATAGCCGAAATAAGAATTTGTAATTTTTTGATTTTTGGCCATTTTGACACCTTAGGAGTGTAATGAGAACTTTTTGCCCCTATTCAACCATGACCCCCATGACATCCTCTACATGATAGGCTATTCAAACTGAGTATGCCTAAATTTCGAGCCACCCCCCAATTTTTTGATTTTTGGTCATTTTCGCCTCCTAGGAGTGTAATGAGAACTTTTTTCCCCTATTTAACCATGACCCCCATGACATCATCTACATGATAGGCTATTTAAAGTGACTAGGCTCGAGGAACCCCCCAACTCATTCTAGTTTTTACTTACAATAATTATAAAAAATAATAAAAAAAGACTTTACAGAATTAAAAGGAATAATTATTAAATAAAAATATAAATGCATTCATTAAAATCGGACAGTCTCCTGCAAAACGTGTTGAAATGATTACTTTTGACTAGTGGTCGTACAGTGCTCGAAATTCCACCGTAATTATTAGATTTATAATAATTAGAGTATTATCGTTGGAGTTAAAGCTGGCAGTAATAAAGCATGGGTTGCTGCCACCCGGGGCCGCCTCTCTCATTGTTTACAACAATCTTAATCTATATAATCAATAAAAAAGCCAGTCAGTAAAGTTCTTTTTTGTATTGTTTAAAAATAAATTAATAGCTATGTAGCTATGTAATGCATTTTTATACTATTTTCTACTATTTGAATCAAAAGTATTTAGCAAGAACTATGATTTTACTGCCATCATTTAAAAGTTTAAGGCGGAATGCTCATTTTTCTTTCCCAAAATAATCGTCCCCTAAAACCTGCTAACCGGGGCCATGGTTCATATTATACACCCTTGTTACGTTACTAAACGGTTGACCAAACAATTCGACAGAATCATTTATTCTCAAATACATAGCAAGGTTCTTGAGTCTAATGGCGTCCTTGAGTCGAAGTAGGTACCCACCATTAGTAACAACTACTATTAATCATTTCTGTTCAATGGCGACGTTGCTGAAGTATGGAAGCCAGTTACCTTGACTTATCGTTTATTTTGGATACACCAAATGGCTTTTAATTGAACAGTTGACGCGTATGACCTAATTTATATTGCTCGAATCAAGTACATACTTCCATTCGAATCAAGTTTTCTTTTTAATAATGCTAGCGACCACATTAAAAGATAAGATTTATCGTGTATTTCATAATGTAGATTTAAGATAATCATCAAAGACCTTTTAATATATAAATTTTTAGATTTCTCACAACAATCCCCTTTTTGTTAGGAAAAATATATCCTAAATGACTCGTGGTATTGCTTCCTATCTGTTCGCGAAGTTTCTTCAAAATCGTTTCGGTCATTTCAAAGATTAGCCCATTCAAGTAGATAAGACAGCCCGTAAAACAGATAGATAAACCAAAGTTTTAAAAATAGTAATTTAAAATAATGTAATTCATTTATTAAATAAGGTAATTAATTAATTAATTTGTTCTTTATTGAACCTTACACAATGTATAGAAACAAAAGGCGGACTTAAAGCTATAAGCATTATCTGCCAGTCAACCTTAGGCAGTTAGATGTTGAGAATACTGTTATTAAGCGTTAATAATAGTTTTAATATTTATATGTATTGAAGTAATAAGTTCATATTTAAAATAAAATCACGTAAATGATGATGGAATTTACAGCGAGCTTAGCAGCTGAACTACTACGGCGAGTAATCAGTGTTCGGAATCCTCTTGCACCAATGAAATTGTTATTTGCAATTTTAAGTGCTGATTTACCAAATGTTCGGTGGTGAAGGAAGACATCATAATGAAACCTGCATGTCCGAGAAATAAAAATAGTTTTTTTTTGAAAAAAAATCTTCCTGCTTTGAGGCGGCGCGGACGAACGGTGCCATTCCTTAGGGAAGTGTCCGCCAAATAAAAAAATCCGGAATAAAACTATTATATTAAAATCTTAATACATAGTTATAATATTCTAGTTCTAATTGAAATGTATCTAGTAAATAACTATAAAGTACAAATGTGTCCAGAATAAACGCTTATCGTTTAAGCCTTAAGCCCTATGGCAATAAATCACGACGTCATGGAGTTAATAGTGACATATGGTTCAGTGTTGCCAGCTAACAGTTCATTTATCACACGTTAAAAGGACATGCGGTACTTTGTCATCTTCAAAATATGGAACTAAAGTTTAAATTACGGCATGTCAGTCAACTGAATTAGGATTCATCTTCCTGGCGAATGAAAATAATAAGAATAATGAGGATTTAGGCAGGCATTTGATCGCCAGCGGATTTATAATTCTGTGATTTCGTTCGTTTTGTTTTGTAATAATGTGGGTTTTAGGCGTTTAAAATGAAAGACATGTTTCACGTAAGCCAGTCCAAGTTATATTGTCAGAACAGTGGAAAACATAATGTCCACACATACAGTTCACATGCGGAGTGGGAGTGCCGCGTAAGATGAATTTAACACGTCCGTGGGAGCGTGTTCGACTTAACACACCCGTGGGGCCATTTTCTTGCTTACATTATTTTGGTCACATTACAGTTTCGTTGGAAGAGGTGGTTTGAAGTGGATTTTGGCTCTAGCACGAATTGGTCATCTAGAGCGGATGGCTCCACGCTTTTATTGAATACCAGCGTGAAATAGTAGCCCAATGCTGCTGTGTTTCGTAGAGTTAGTGTAGAGATTCTTTGCCGTTGGCGAGGTTCCGTGTCTCCAAGCACTGTAAATTTAGTAATAAAAATAATATAAAATATCTGAATAAATTATCATATAAATATTTATTTTAGTTTTTAAATTTATATATGTATGTAATAAAAATCAGCCAGTAATATTTTAAAAAGCACTGGGGCTGCGTAATTGTAAAAGTTGTATTAACAATAATTATTGTATTTTGTGAATGGGTTTTGGTTTTTTATAGAACCAAAACTGCGTCCCTCAATTGCGCATAAAAATCGGTAACAGTCTTCTATAGTCTCTGTACAATATTTGAAACTTAATAATACAGTATAATATTGTTTATACCTTTTTTTGGCGTGTTTATTAGCTGTTGACATTTTTAATGGCATCATTTAAAAAGTTGAGACGTTGGAGCTGACTTTTCTCTTTCCAAACGCTACCCTCTAAAATCTGCCTCTCTCGGCGCCATGTCCCTGCCATGGAAAGGGAGAGGCCCTTGCTACGCATCTGCTACTGTGCTACTTATTGTTGTACGAAATCGAGGTTACAACTGGACACCAAATTGAAAGTTGATAATGAGGGAAGGTAGTGGAAGGAATGTCGAGTGGCGCAGCACGAAAGAGCATCCATCATTCCATTTCGTCTTGTTGGTGGTATAAGAGGCTAATATGGTAAATGCAATCGTGTAGTGGCAGTGTAAGAATATCTTCTACCCCATATCGCCCCGTGGGTACCCTAAGAAGCGACGGAGGGAAACAAAACAGGAGATGGGCATCAGCGTCTCGTAAGAAGTAAATCTATACATCTATACAAATAAATAAAATTGAAGTGTCTGTTTGAAATGTCAAAATAACAGCTTTTTACTTAATGCATATGAAAGTATATGTGGTAGTAATAACAAAAATACAATTATTAAAATTTTTGTCTGTCTGTTTGTTCTGACTGATCTCTGAAACGTGTAGACTGATTTTAACTGGACTTTCACTGGCAGATAGCTAATGTTACAAGGAGTAACTTAGGCTACTTTTTATTTAGAAAAGGAATTAGGGCTCTGCGCAAAAAATTAAAACCCATAAAATACAATCGTAATAAATTACGAGACAAAGCCGCGGGGAACAGCTAGTAATATATAAAACTGCTGTTATAATAGCAAATATCATGACCATGTAACAATTAACAATTAACAAAAAACAAAAAACAAGTAACGATTAAGGCAAATTCTCCTTTTTACGGGCTGATGATGAAGAAGAAGTGAGGCAAAACCGTATCGCACTCGCACCAATTTTATTATAGTACAGTATTGCAGAAAATTATTAGCTCTCATTAATGTATTTTGTATAAGCCTCCTTAAGTTTCATCACAGAAGCAAAATAACGTTAGAATAGGGTAGTATTCAGGTGCATGATTAATGATAACCTGTAAATAATTAACCTTTAGCCTTGTTTCATTTGCTTAATGAACTTCGGTAAGTATACTTTTTAAATATTTATTGTTTAAAATTTGGAATTGATTAATAGTTATTTAAGTGTTTTCAATTTCTCACCCTTCTATTAAGAATAAGAAGTGAGGAAAAATCGTATCGCAGTCGCACCCATTTTAATATTCAATAGTTTTACATAGTTATATTTATATTTACACTAGCGATCCGCCCCGGTTTGTGATTTCCGGATCTCAATAACAGCGCCACCTACCGGGTCCAATTGTAAACCGTTAAGATCAAGACCCACTCAAACACAAAAAAACGTTCATCAAAATCAGTCGAGCCATTTTCGAGTTTAGCGAGACTAACGGACAGCAATTGATTTTTATATATAGAGATTAAGTTAAGCTTAAGTATCTGCCTCTTTTAAGTATAAAACCGAACACACAGAACAACCATAGAGTAGTATTCAGGTCCATGATTAATGATAATGCCATGCTGTAGCTATATTATGGTTATAGCACGAATGGGTCAGCTCGATCGGGGAAGGACCACGCACTCACAGAATACCAGCGTAAAGTAGCAGCTTAACGCTGCTGTGTTTCGTATGGTGAGTGTAGAGAACCGGAGACCCTTTTTACTGGAAACGAGGCATTCCATCTTAGTTCTCACGGCTGACAACGCATCTACATTTTGATTCTTTATTGAGGATAAATGTAGATGTCTATGGGCCGCAGCAACCACTTACCATCAGGTGGACTGTGTGCTCGTTTGTCACCCGATCCTATAAAAAAAATTCTACTATCATATGGTGCAGGTGTTTGTAGCAAATTACACAGTTGAACTCCACCATTTCAACTGACTTTTCAAAGTTGCATTCCAATACATTTATAACGTATTCGGTAGTAAATTCTCAATAGAATGAAGTCGTAAAAGGGACAACAATAAAGCGGTATAAAAGATTTTACAATCAGTTTAATTTGTTGTAAATGGTTCTACAAAATAATTTAACCGTCTAAAATCAGTGGTCCGCTCGGCTTTGCGATGCACTTACAAAGTTTAACCTCTTATTTTATTAAAGTACACGATGTCAGATGAGCTGGGCTTAATTCTATGTTTTCGCAGACTATCTATGATATTATTGGCTAAAAAATAGTAAAATGAGAATGCTTGCGGAATTTCTCACGCCTTTTCTTCAGAACAGAACGTTATTTTAAAAATGCTCCTCGTAGTTGATTAAATTAAAAAGTTTAGCAAATAAAAATGATATTTCTTACATTGAAAATTTAAAGAGATTACATTTCATGTCGCTTGAGTTGAAGAGATGAAAGAAATAATATTATGTTCTTTTGGAGCAATAACTTACAGTACCTAATATGTGTACATAATAATATTTTACAAAAAATACAACGTGATTTTTTTAACTTGAATAGGTCTCTGATTTACAGTATTCATAAGAAATCATTGTGTGTAAAATGTTTTCACCTGTCAAAAATAAATTATTGGTGAAAGGAAAGAAACTTATTTTTTTTTGGAGTTTTGGCGGGAACTTGACCGGCGTCGGTTTGCTGCCTCTGTATTATTGTTTAAATAATGGTTTGAAGTGGACTTTGATATGTAAAAGTGGTGCGATTTTGTGTATTAAGTGTCCGCGCATGTGAACTATTAGTGGAAACTGTGAAACAAGTGCTCTGATGGTGATGTGATTCTCAAAATAAGGTGTCTGTCTGCTTAGGCGCCTTGAGATACCATCGCCAACTTTCAGCTGTCTGCTGGCTCAAGTTGCCGTCAAAATCTCCCAAGGGCTGCACAATGTGACGCATCAACACATTGTGAAGCAGTATACTATGAAGGATAATTATAATAATATATTGTAACTTCAGGCTCAGAAGGGCTAGATCCCAGAGCCGTAAAGCCAGTTATTAAGCAGAAGAAGTTATTTTTTTTAAATGTTCATATAGGTAAAGGCGTTAAAGAAATATTTCCATTATGCGTAGGAAGCTGAATTTTCTTTTTGAACACAATCAAGCCAATCGTTAGTCACGTAAGTAGTGGCAATGATCATTAGTTTTTGGTTGAAATCCTTTCTATGTAGCCATGCTACGAGTACAGCTATATCATTAGTACCGTTGAAGCACGAATGGGTCGGCTCAACCGGGGAAGGACCACGCTCTCACAGAACAAAATAGCAGCTTAATGCTGCTATGTTTCGTTTGGTGAGTGTAGGAACCGGATACCCTTTTGGTCCCCACGGCTGACAACGCATCTGCATTTTATTTGAAAACGAGTATAGATGTAGATGTCTAAGGGTCGCAGCAGCCGCTTGCTATCAGGTGGACTGTGTGCTCGCTTGTCTTGTATAAAAAAAACTCACGAAAAATATTGATTAACTTTTTCGTGAGTGACTACATAGATTTTATCATGTTTGTTTCACTTTCAAACTTTTTAACCAAATCGTTTTAATCGCCGTGTAGAGGTGACGTTAGAAAATCCACTATTTTATATAATGTGCCGTAAGAGGCGACATAGGTAAATTAAACAGATGGACAGCAGCACCATCCTGATAATAAAATAAAGTAATTTGGAAAATTCAAAGGTGTGAATCTTTGAATTCTCATGAGCGTTTTATTTAATTTTGATGAAAAAAATAAATTGTATTTTAAAATAAATTAACCTTAAATTTAGCGCTTTATTATTTTAACAGGTATAATCACTTACGGGGAAAAAAATTAATAATGTTTACCAAAATAAATCGATTACACAAAGTATGAAATCGATATAGGCTGTATGGTACATTTGTCCTTTGTCAATCAAGGGCTAAAGAATTAATATGAAAGCGCCTTCAAATTTTTAATAGCAATAAAACTTATAAAAGTTGAAAATCACTTTATTAAAAAACTACGCTTACTAGGCTATTGATATAAAATATGGAACCAGTTGATGTAATTCTGTAGCTAATAAAACCTCGGTCTCGATACGTCAACTTTTGCGGGAGTTATAATAACGCTACGCGTTATGAGGCGTGCAATAATAAGAAATTGCACTAGTCAACCTGCATGCCAAGTGTGGGATCTATGGCAAATATCCCCACCTATGTTCAGTAGTGGACTTTTGATAAGCTGTATTGAATTGCTGAGTGATGATCCTTTTAATTTTTTCTTAGGAACCCTAGTAAAACTAAATAAAACTAGTTTTAACGGATTTAATCGCGTAATCATCATCGAGAATTTGTGGCCTATCAAATTTGATGTAGTAACGGGGGCCAAACACGTGCAGGAACGCCGATTCTTCCCAAGGATGATTCGTGAGACTATTGAAATCAAAAAACATCCTAATTTCAATAGAGAAGTTAGGTGGGTGCTAACATCTGCTTGGGATCTTATAATTATTAAAATTAAATCCCAACCTAAGCATACCACTGCAAAACTTCAAGATACTATTAGTTCATACTGCGTAGATTGGAACAAAAATTAATAATTTTAATCTGGAGATAGATGTGGTTAACTATGACATTGAACACATCAGTCCCTCCCCCCCACCCCCCGTGACTATGGTGCTGTAAAGTGCTCGAAACGTCAGGGATATATAAGAAGTTAATATAAGCGATAAAATCCGTAAATACTAGTTTTCAATGTGTAGAGTTCGCGTTAATATAGGAAATCATTACCTAGTAAAAGAAGCTAAGACATAGGTATTTTCCTCTTCAATCGTAGGAAGAATGCTAAGCACTAGCAGGTGGAATGACGATCGTACCAGGTGAACGCATATGATGTTTCTGGCACCTGAAATGTACGAGATAGTATACCATTATATTGGATTCTGTGAGGTCTTTCTGACCTTTCTCATAACACTAACACATATAATACGCGTGGTGCGAAATAGGATGATGAAATCTTTCTCCGCTACTACAGTAAAACTATCTCGTAATAAAACAAAGACTTTTATGTATATTACTAGCAATTCAGAACAAAAATTGTGTCATAACGTGTATCGCCCGGACGAGTAGCTGGCGCAGTATATATGCCACGCTGTTGTATTTTCATTTACGACGGTGATTACTATTTATTTTATTATAACTATTAGGTAAATACGAAAAAAAGTTACATATTTATCCGAAATAAATCTGCATTTTGATTCTTAATGTAATTTTTTCATAGAAGAGGAGGCAAACGAGCATGCAGCTCACCTGATGGTAAGTGACTATCGCCGCCCATGAACAACCACAACACGAGGGGAATTGCAGGTGCGTTGCCGGCCTTTTAGAAATAAGTTTTTCAATAAAAAATATTTTTGTATTCGTTGAATGTGACCCACAATGCAATTGATGGCGACGTATTGATTAAATATATTCCAGTGAAGCGACTGCCATTGCTTGATTTAACACTCACTTTAAAAATAGTTCGTGGTTTGAAACACATTTAACTTTCAATAGCCTTACCTCTTACAGACAAAAGTAATACTAAAGATTATTGTACCACTTTCACACATAACAATCAGCCTTTTAAGTCCACTGCTGAAAAAAACCTGGCATAATTTACAATTGCCCATATCCACCACATTTGGCAAGCAGGTTTGCGACGGATAGGTTTGTGGGTGCAGATCCGAGACCCTCATAAAGATAATAATTTGAGGAGCGTTAGATACTCGTGTATATTTATGCGCTATCTTTAACCGTACGGGGTCGTATAATTTATTGCACGTCTCTTAACGCAAAGCGTTGTTCTACTCTCGACACGTCAAGGTCAAGCAATTTGTGTTTTTAAAATGGCTCTATCATAACCATATTTCACTTATACAATAATATGAGTAGCCGTGTATGAAAAAAAGAAACTAATTAATCCATCTTATATTTTCTAAAAAAATATTTTATATTGTTACTTTGAAGAAGAAAAAAAACAGTTTGAAAAAAATTTTCAAGGCCTGATGTTGATCTTGTATGTGGTCACGATAGGTCCCGAAAAAATTATGTATCGAAACCGGGTTTATTTTAGGCTTCAGAATTACGTCAACTGGTTTCCTATTCCATATCAGCTTGCATAGTTTTTTAATAAAATGATTTAGTTAAAAGTTTTATTGCTATTAAAAATTTAAAAGCGCTGTCAATATTTTTTTAGCATTTGATATACAAAGAACACATGTACTATATACAGCCTACATTGCCTTTATACTTTATGTAATCGATTTATTTTGGTGAACATTATTTTTTTCTCCTGTAGGTAACACTCCCTGTTAAAATAATTATCATCATCATTGCAGCCTTTCATAATTCCACTGCTGAACGTAGGCCTCCCCCAAGGAATGCCACAAAGCACGGTCCTGAGCCACCTGCATCCATCGACTTCCTGCATGTCTTACCAGGTCGTCACTCCCTCTCGTGGGGGGTCGCCCTATACTTCGCCTACCGGTACGAGGCTGACACTCGAGAACCTTTCTTCCCAATCGGTTGTCAGTTCTTCGAGCTATATGGCCGGCCCACTGCCACTTCAGCTTACTAATCCGTTGGACTATGTCGGTTACTCTGGTTCTACTGCAGATATCCTCATTTTTAAATTTATCACGTAGAGAAACCCCGAGCATAGCCCTTTCCATAGCTCGCTGAGCGACCTTGAGCTTCCTCATACGGCCAGCAGTGAAGGACCACGTCTCAGATCCATAAGTCATCACTGGCAACACGCACTGGTTGTTTAATTTCGTTTTAAGGTTTTGAGGTATATCTAACGAGAAGATGTGTCGTAGTTTCCCGAACGCTGCCCAGCCGAGTTGAATCCGTCGATTGACCTCTCGGTCGAAGTTGGACTTACCTAGTCGGACTATTTGTCCCAGGTAAACATACTAATCAACAACTTCGAGCTTAGTGCTCCCAACAACTCCCGGCCTAGGTGTGACATGGACGTTAAACATGATTTTTGTTTTGTCCATGTTCATCTTAAGACCTATGCGTTGGGCGACACTATTGAGGCCATTGAGCATAGTGCTTAGGTCCTCCAGCGATTCTGCCATAAGGACTATATCATCGGCAAATCGAAGGTGAGTGATGTACTCGCCATTGATGTTAATACCGCATCCTTTCCAGTCCAGCAGCTTGAAGTTTTCAATCGAATAAATTCGAATAAATTCCAATGCAGCGGTGAAGAGTTTCGGGGAAATAACGTCACCTTGTCTTACACCTCTCTGCAGTTGGATAGGTTTCGTAGTCTGATTCTGTACTCGGATAGCCGTCGTAGCTCTACTGTTCAAACACATCAGTACTTCGATATACCGACAGTCAACTTGGCACCGCTGAAGGGACTGCAGCACCGCCCAAATTTCGACGGAATCAAAGGCTTTCTCATAGTCTACATACGCAAGGCAAAGTGGCAGATTATACTCCTTTGTCTTCTGTACAATTTGCCGAAGGGTGTGTACGTGGTCTATAGTACTAAAGCCTTTTCGGAAACCGGCTTGTTCAGGAGGCTGGAAGTCGTCAAGTCTGCGTGCGAGACAATTCGTAATGACTCTCGAAAACAGCACACGTAGACGCGGCTCAGAAGGGAAATCGGTCTGTAGTTCTTCAAGAGAGCGTTGTCGCCTTACTTGAAGAACAAGACCACCGCACTTCTGCTCCACTCCGCCGGAGTAGTGCCACCATGGAGGACGGAATTAAAGCGCTTCTGAAGGACTTCAAGTACCGGTTTTCCACCCGCATTCAAAAGCTCCGCTGTAATTCCATCTCCGCCCGGGGACTTTCCCTTTTTAAGGTGCTGGAGAGCCATTCTAATCTCGCTCAGACTTACGTCCGGGATATCTTCGGAATAGTGTCGGATAAGACTCGCTCTTGGATCGTTACTCACACTTGCGTGTGGTTCCAACGATGACGTGTACAGTTGCCCATAGAACCTCTCAACCTCACTCAAAATCTCAGGTGTCCCGGAAACGATGCTGCCACACTCGGTCTTCAGCTTTGACAGTTGGCTCTTTGTGGCAGACAGATTTCTGGCAATGACTTTGGAGCCTTGGTTTCGCTCGATCGCTTCTTCAATACAAGCTGTATTGAAGTTGCGTAAGTCCCGCCGCATACATTTGGAGATCTGTCTGTTCAGTTGCCTGTATGCTGTCAAATCTGTTGAAGAATGTAATCTGTTGTCTTCTAGGCACTGAAAACAGTTTTGTAACTCGAGCTGAAAGGTTTCGGGACTTTTGAACAGAGCACGAGGGGGACGGTGCGTTGACTTCATTTGACGAGACCTCTCCAACTTAACGTTTAGGTTTAGTGTGCCTCTAACCATTCGGTGATCGCTACCAGTTTTCTCCCTCGCGATCACGGAGACATCACTGAACAGTTGTCGTCTGGTCGTCATAATAAAGTCAATCTCTTTTTTGTCGAACCGTCGGGGCTCGACCAGGTTCACTTCCTGTGGGGCCGCTTTTGGAAGAAAGAGTTCATCATAAAGAGTCCCTCTTTCTCCATGAAGTCGACCAGCTGCTGGCCCCTTGGGTTCCGTTGCCCTATTCCGAATTTCCCTTCTTTCAGCTCACCGTTATCTCTTGTGCCTAGTTTTGCAATGAAGTCTCCCATTAACACCGTGTAGTGGGTTTTGGAGGAATGCATGGCTCTAGAGATATCCTCATACATTTCCTTCACCTCCTCATTGGGGTGTGCCGAGGTTGGTGCGTAAACCTGTATGACCTTCAGCGAATACCGTTTGGTGATTCTGAGTATAAGGTACGCAACCCTTGTCGACACATTCCGGATTCGAGGATTATCGTGTACCGTCTCTCGAACATCTGATAATCCTATAATATGCCAGCGTAACTTGTCTATCTCTTCTTCCAGCTCCACGACCTTCTCGTCAGTCCTAAGGGTGCGTGCGTTATATGTTGCCAGGTCGAGTCGTTTTATGTGGCAACCGAACCTCCACCGGAGATTCTAGCACCCCCTGCCCCGCCGTTACCATGGTCGCCACCGTAGCTAGGAACAGCTAGGTCGCCGGGGACTGGGGGCCGTCTCTTTGTTACTCTCATCATAGGGGGGTATTTGCCATAGTTGCCACGAAAGGCGAGCGGGTTGGCAACCGCAGTTTTTTTATTGTAACTTTGCTGTTATCGGGAAGATGCTGCTACCCATCTCCTGCCTGTTTCCCTTTGTCACCTTTTACGACACCCACGGGAAGATATGGGGTAGTGGATATTCTTAACCGCCACTACACGGCACGCTATTAGCGTATTTTTATTATTTAAAATAAAAGAGCGCTAAATTTAATACACGTAAATAATATAATTTAAAAGTCAGTAATAAAGTGCCAGTAAAAAGACCCTTTTTACTGGCAAAGAGGCATTCCATCTTAGTCCTCACGGGTGACAACGCATTTGCATCTTGAGTCTTTATTGATGATAGATGTAGATGTCTATGAGTCACAGTAACCACTTACCATCAGGTGGACTGTGTGCTCGTTTGTCGCCCTATCCTATAAAAAAATTATATTTTTTATTAAAATTAAATGAGACGCTCATGAGGCGTGCCCTTTTGGATTTTCCAAACTTTATTTATTTTCTACCACTTTTTTATATTAACTCGATTTTGTGTATGTCTTTTCGGGTCGAATTTAGTAATCGATTTCAAACTTCCCGACAAGCTAGAGACTTGAAATTTTGGACATAACTCAGAATCGGATGCCGAGGTAAGAATATGAAACAATTATTTTATAATTAGTTTCCTTTTAAACCGACTGCCCCAGAAAGAGGGTTTTGTTTTCCGAGTATATGTTTATGAACCCTTTGACCTTTTTTCGCAAGCTCTGTAGCCTAAACGGCTTGTTGGATTTTAAAATATTCGGTCTGCTTAGATTCGTCTTAATTGTGGAAATGATATAGGTGACATTAATCATCTATTTTCTAAACTTTATTCTCAGTAAGGGTATTTTTCTTTTTTTTATTACTTTTGGGCTAGTTTTACACTTACTTAGTTCTATCACTGCATCATCACAAGGTAGACTGGTAGATAAAGTCTTGACAATTAACTCCGCCTGTAGAACATAAATATATTTATTCATTAATTACAGCCATTCTTAAATTCAATACTTAAGTATTGAATTTAAGAATGGCTGTAATTTTTAAAAATGTCACATAGCACGGTCACGAGCCATCTGCATCCATCGACTTCCTGCATCTCTTACCAGGTCGGTACTCCATCAGGTGTAGTAAAGTGGGAGGTCGTCGTACACTTTGCTGACGGTACGAGGCTGCCGCTCGAGAAACTTCCTTCGCTATTTGTTAAAAAGCCATATTGCTTCGAAGAATCGGCATAACCATATAGTTTAATATTTAGAATGTTGAAAGGATCTATTTTAATTGCTATATAGTGGCGGTGTAAAAATAACCACTGCGCCGTTACCTTCTTTAGGTTTGTCGGTGGTGACAGAGGGATACCGAAACTAGAAATGGGCGACGGCGTCTTCCTGATTACAACGGAAAATAATTCAAAACTATGGTTGCCGACTGGCCTGCCATGCGTGACAACTATAACAAAACCCCCCCTACGAGACAATGAACATTTCATAGGTAGTTCAGATGAATTAATGAATAAGTATTATAAATGCGATAGTAACTGTACATTTTCACGGCTATACCACTAAAACGATTTTAATAAAATTGTGTACAGAAAAAGCTTGAACTTAATACAATATTTAGAGAATATTCGAAATCCACCAATACGCATATACTGAAGCAGTGGAGCACTAATTGCTCCATAACGCTCTGAGGAATAAGCCTGTGCTAAGCCAGTGCTTGGCAGTGGAAGGTACATAATATGTAGGTATACATTTGGATACTTTTACTTTTTAATCTAAATTTTAATTAAAACACATTTGTCGTTCTCTTGAATTTTTTTTCTTTTATACGAAAACTAGCTGTTCCCCGCGACTACGCTCGCGTGTTATGGTTTTTTTTTTGCGCGGAATCTTAAATCTTTTTCTAAAACAAAAGTAGCCTTAGTTACTCCTTATGATATCTGATATCTGCCAGTGAAAGTCCCATCAAAATCGCTCCAGCCGTTTCGGATATTAGCCGGAACAAACAGAGAGACAGACAAAAAATTTAAAAATTGTATTTTAGTTATAAGAACCGTATTTACTTTCATATGCATTTAGTAAAAAGCTGTAATTTTGACATTACAAACAGACACTTCAATTTTATTTATTTGTATAGATTATAATTGAAAAGAAAATAAATATAAAGGGTTGTTTTACTTTCTACGCCTTAAAGAGCCGTAAGGACTTAAAGCGTTTCAACTCTGCGCCCGATCTCTCTTCGGATGTGTCGAATTGCCGTCACATCGAAATAAGGGGGAGGGTATTGAGAGTGAACTTGTGCTTACACCCACACTCGTGCACTATAGTTCTATCTTGTAAAAATGGCTAGTCTCTGTCGAGACTGGCCGCTCTGACTAGTAGCCAATCTTGATGCGATTTGGAGGGCATTCCAGCTAAAATGCTTATAACATTTGAATCAAATTTTGGCTAAAATTCTTTTAAAGAACTTTAATCAGAAGCTTACTGTAAAATCGTTCTCATATGAAACTCGTCAACACAAAATACAAAGTTTTAGCGCAATCTGATGAACGGCATGGCAGTATATAAAATATGAACAAACAAATATTAATTTTTATATATAAGATTTCTCATGGCCTTTAGTCCGCAAGCCTGAAGCTCGATGAAACTGTAAAAGTCAACTGACCAACAGTGCTTACATCAAATAGGGAGGTAATTATTGAAAATGGTCCTTTTTGTTAAGAAAAACCCTTTTCAAGCTGTGGTCAATAAAATAATAAATTACTTTTAATTTGAGCTACTACGACTTTTGCTATAGTTAATTCCACTCTTGGCTGAGAATAACTGCAGTAAAGAGGTTATAGGTTTCATTATCTTTTCTGACTTTAATCAAACTATTTTAAATGACTTTATGACACGAGGAGAGATACTTTTAATTAGTAAATGAAATGCTTAACGTAGCGAATGGTGACAAACGAGCACACAGTCACCTGATGGTAGGTGGTTGCTGCGGCCCATAAACATCTACATCTATCCTCTATTACAAATCAAAATGCAGATGCGTTGTCACCCGTGAGGACTACGATGGAATGCCTAATTTACAGTAAAAGGTTTAACGATTTCTAAAAAAACGAGGCGATATGATATTATTTCGACGTAATAGCACCCATGCTCAACTCTCTATTCCCTCCCTTGACATTTCCGAAGAGAGGTGCAGGGTTAAAACGCTTTAAGTCTATACGGCTCTTTAATTAAGTAAAACAACCCTATATATATATATATATATATATTACATACAATTAATTCTGCGCTGTTCCAATGCGTATCGGTGGACTTCGAATATTTTCGAAACATTATATTAAGTTCAAGCTTTTTCTGTACCCAATTTTATTGAAATCGTTTTAGTGGTATAGCCGTGAAAACGTTCAGTTACTTTCTTATTTATGATATTAATTAATTCGTACATCTGCCTGCCTGTCAAATGTTCATTGTCATTTACGGCGGATTATGCTATAGTTATCACGCATGTCATTTTTGCATCTGCTTTGTTCTGAATAACGATTTTATATTTATTAGGCGCGCCTTGTCATTGCGTATACTTGCAGCACTTAATTAGCACTTAATTCCTTGCTATTAATATTTATCGTATATCTGTTATCGTCATTGCGTTACTAGCGATACGTTTTGCCAGCAACCTAAATTTCAATAGTTCTTTGCGATGAACATTTTTAGAGCACCTAATTTTCAAATTTGGCACCTATTAAGCACAGACAGAACTGTTTTACAGCGGCTTTCCTCATTATGAAATATATCACGTAGAGTATCTTCGAGAGTAGTCCTCTCGATAGCTCACTGAGTGACCTTGAGCTTCCTCATATGGCCAGCACTGTGTGCTCATAGCGTTCACAAAATTAGAATTTACTTATTCACGAGACGTTTGCTATGTATTGTAGTAACGACGTGTGCCTCCCCTATAGATTGCCTCATAGCATAGCTTGTCATTCAAATTGGCAATCAGATTTTTTTTTATTATTGCGTTCTTATTGAGAAATTGCTGCTGCCATCTCCTGTATCGGTTTCCTTTTGTCGCCTTTTACAGCCACTAAATGATACGACACTCACTGTGTAGCGGTGTATTTACACCGCTACACAGTGATTACAGAATTAATTAAATGAAACTAATTTTTACGGATTTTATCGCGTTTAATTTACTATTTTAATTCCCGACATTTCGGGTCCTTTACAGCAACCCACGGTCACGGGAAAGGGGTGGGGGGACTGAGATGTTTGACGTCCCGATGTCACAGTTAGCCCGGCCACCGTCAGTTATTAATATTAATTTTTGGTTCGATTTACGCAGAATGAACTTATAGTATCTTGAAGTCTTGCAGTGGTATGCTTGGGTTTGGATTTAATTTTATCAATTATAGGATCCCAAGCAGATGGCAGCACCCATCTATCTTATCTATTGAAATTATGATGTTTTTTAATTCCAATAGCCTCGCGTATCATCCATGGTAGGAATCGGTGTTCTTTTGCGAGGATTTGTGGTCTATCAAATCTGATGTAATGGCGGGGACGATCTTGAACATGTTCACAGACTGCAGATTTCCCAGAACGTCGATGCTTCACGTCAGCTACATGTTCTTTCACGCGGGTTTTAATGGATCTTTTTGTTTGTCCTATGTAAGAGAGACCACATTCGAAATCAAGCTTGTACACTCCTGCATCTTGTAAAGGGTTATGACACTTGAAGTATGGTAAAAATTGACTAATATTCTTCGGCGGCTTGGTGTATGTTTTAAAAGAAGCTCGCTTCAAAATGTAGCCGACCTTGTCTGTGACTCCTCTGACATAGGGTAGTACAGCAGGCACACGCTCGACTGTGGTCGGCTTCACTCGGTCACTGTGACGTAGGCGCGGGACCCGAAGCTTGTTGTCTTGCACTACTTGCTCAACGTACTGAAGCTCGGCGGCCAGATGTTTTCTGTCACAGATTCCTGGTGCTCTCTGAAACAAAGATTTTCCCACGGTAGCTAACTCTTATGGATGAAGGTGCGATTCACCATTTAAATGTCGGTTGGTATGGGTCTTTTTCCTATACACAATGTGACCAATAGTGTTATCAGTATTTCGGATGGCTAAAACATCTAGGAAAGCTAAAGTATTGTTTGCGTTAACGTTAACTCCATTGATATGGAATTAAGGTGGTCTAAAAATGCAGTTAATTTGTCAGATGGTAAAATTGTGAAAGTATCGTCTGCGTACTGCTTGTAGAATCTTGAATTTACAGGAGCAGTAAGAATTAATTAGTTGTTTTATTCCGGATTTAAAACAAACGAATTCTGTATTCGCATATCAGATATTTAAATGGCCCACCTCATTACAAACTTGAGAACTTATAATGAAACTTCAGCGCTAATGAAGATAATAATTATAGAGTGGCGACGGGAATCGGACCCGGGTTATTCGTTCATTGTGAATTTTACGGCCAGCGCTTAAATTCTAAGCTACTAAGTCTAGAAGAATAAGATAGCAAGACCTTAATTTTTTTAAAGCGGAACTAGATGGTTAATCTCTCACAACACCACTACGTGAATATTGTCATTTTATTTTTATATAGTACGAGGGATCTGGCCCAGCTTTGCACGGGTGATTTCCGGATCTGGACAACAGTGCCAACTATCTGGTCCAAATGTAAATATAAATCATCTAGGGACCCATTCAAATACACAAACAGACAAACTAACAGCAATTGATTTTTGTATGTAGAGATAAGAGTGAAATTCTATATACATACTTGAGTATTCTCTATTTAAGAGCCGTAGTAGCTCAAAAGCTAAACGTGGGCTATAAAGTAAGCGAGCTATCCGGGTTCATTTCTTATTGGCACTTGGGTAGTTCTACAAACTAAGGAATTTTTGGCGGCTCAGCTAAAATATAATAAAAAAATTGTTAACAACAATTTTTTTTGGATGGAATTCTATTAATTACATTTGTTTCTA